GTGGTTTTCCTCTCTCCAGGCAAGTGTTGCCCCATTTCTGGGCTTCGGTGGAGATGTGGGTGTCGGCAGACAGAGTGGGCTTCTCCTGCTGCCTGGGCTACCGGTGCTGCTCACCCACCAGAATCCAAGTCCTTGCTCTAGGATTTCTGGTGTGGTGACGTTTCTGGCCTAGACAGCTCCTTGAGATTCCTACTTCCGTTGTGCAGTTGCAGTGGTTCAAACTGTCTCCTCAATGAGAACCTGTACTGCTGGGACGGCCTGAGCCCGCAGCTGGGTCTGGGCGTGAGCCACTCAACCCAGCGGGGCTGGGGTGCATGGACGCCCCTGCTCCTGAAAGTCACAGGCAGTCGTGAGCAGCCGGGGCAGCAGGAGCTGAGGGCTCCTGGGGAAAAAAGGTGGGAGCGTTTTTGGGGCTGGCTTGGGGAACTTGCACTACTGGATGCCACCAACCCATCAGTTTAGGTGAGGGAACGTGATCTGCAAGTGCTTGCTTATCTGCTACAATGCAAAAGTGGCCAGGTTAGGTAAAGCCTCCTTTATCAGCAGCAAAAAGCTCCTTTGGCTGCCTCTTGGTGCTGAGGCGGTTTACAGAGCACTCGTTCAGCTGGCTTTGCTGGGGCTGTGCAGGTGAAAACGTTCCTTTTGCAGCAGGTCCTCCGTGTTGAGCTGCTGGGTTTGATCTGATGATGAACCCAAGCCCCCAGCTTGGCTGACTTTTGCTTCTGACTTACCCAATCCCCTTTTCGCTCTGCCCCAGGAGCTCGTTTGTGCCGCTTCAGCTGGAGGTTTTGCCTCAGGATTGCCTTCAAAGTCCTGGTGCTCGGGACAGCAGGAGCTGGCAGTGACATTGAGGCTGGGGGGTTATCGCTAAAGAAAAGGATTCAGTCCTGTGCCTCCAGCTCTCCCTCTCACACCACACCCCCCCACCCCGCATTTTTCCCCACAAGCTATAAGGGGGTGGGAAATGCCCACCAGGCCATAAAGACCAGGGTTGTTACTGATGTTCTCTAGCCTGTCAGCTCCTCACTCCCTCCAGGGGAAAAGCTTGTCTTGCCTTCCCTGGCTCTGCCGGGAGGGGCGAGTGCTGAGCTGGGCTGCGGAGGCTGAAAGGGGAGCCGGGGGCGGCTGCTGCTGCAGGGGGAGGTGGCCAGCCCTGAAAAAGCTTGGCAGGCTATGCCAGCCCTGCAGCTCTCCTGAGGGATGTCTTTGCTTCAGCTCCTCGAGCACATGTTGTTCACTACAGGCTTAGTCAAAATTTCTATGAACCTCTACAAACTACGGGAGAACAACAATGCAGACCTGACTTGAAGTGACAACCCTATACGTGCTCAGACCAGGATCTCCCCTGCTTCACAGTTGTGTGCGTTCTCCTGTGTTGTCTCTGACACCTGATGCCCCACAGCTGTGGGAACAGCTGTAAGAGAGGGCCCTGGCGCTTGACATGTGGAAGACGGTGAAGGAGCTTGGAGCAGGGGAAGAGAGTCAATTTGGTCATGAGCTGTGACTTGATTAATGGCAAGGGGCAGAAGCAGCATGGAGGCTTCTTGTGGTGAAGTAGCTAGGATGTGTCTGTGTGATTCTGTGGCACCTCGTTTTGCTTGCTGTTTGGTCATGGCCAGGGTCAGTAGATGCTACAGCAATAATAACCTTACCTGCAGCAGGGTGCAGGGCTGAGAATTGGGAGAGGTCAGGAGGGACATCTGCTTTACTGCAGAGCTGCTGCTTTTCCTGCCTGGTTCTGCTATTTCCCCATCTCCCTGTGGAGCTGCAAGTCCATAGTGATACCTGTGAAGTGCTGTGAGAAGGTGTGTTTCCAGCTGGGATGTGAATCGAGCATACTACAAAGTGATGCCCCACACATTGGGGGTGGCATGTGAATGAGCCTTAGGAGACAATAGATCAGATTTGGTTTCCTGGTTGAGTGAAGTGTTGTAGTGCCTTGGTTGAAGAGGGAGGGACTGGACTGGCGAATGGGGAAAAGGGTGCTGAAGAGGGATGCGCTGGTGGAGCTGGATCATGGGGTATGGACTACAGCCATCATGAAAGCTCCTGGGGCGGTGAGGGCAGAGCCACGTAGGCATCAGGACCAAAGCTGACAAAGGGGAGGAGTGCAGGTTTGACCCTTTGGATTGCCTGAGTGGAAGCTGGTGTGCAGAGGGACGAGGGACAGGACTGGGATGGGCTTGGGCAGGGAAGAGGGCTCCAAACAGCCTCTGAACTATCCACCCAGCACTCATGCTCTGACTGCGCTTTTGGGTTGTCTCCTGCCTGGTAGCTCGTCTAGGAGAAGCCCTCCTTCTGTGGCTTTTCCCTGGCTGGTGGTGTGTGTCTGCTGAGCAGCAAGTGACATCTAGTGTCAGCTCGGGCAGCAGTAACTGTGGCTTGGGCTGCCTCTGTCTCTTCCCTTCCCAGGTTCTGTGACAGCAGTTTTTGGTGCATGCGATGGGTGCAGCTGCAGTGCCCTGCTCTGAGGCAGGGGAAAGCTCCTTGCCCCTCTTGTTGGGCTTGAACACCTTGACCGGGTCCCTCTGCACCCCCATACAGTATTGCTCTGTCACAGGTCCCTTCCTGCAGAGATGACAAACGTTTCCCCTTTGAGGCTCTCTTCTCTCTGGGTTCTGGTAGAGGGCTGGGATGGAAGCGAAAGGGATGGAGCTACTGGTGGGAGAGATGGATGTAGGAGTGAGGTTGGTGCAAAGCCAGGTGTGCAGGGGCAGGAGGTGACCTGGCTTCCCACCCCGATGGATGCAGTCACTCCTTGGTTTCACCTAGGTGAGTGTCTCTGGAGGCTGTGCGCCATGTGTGCTGCCCACAGGAGGTCATTGGAGAGCAAGCTGAGCCCGTGTCCCTGTCCCAGGTCTGCCTGTGCGGACCCAGGCTTTGTCCTCTGTCCTTGGGAGTGTGGGTGGAAGGGTGAGCAGTGGCCTTTCTTCTACCTTCTTCTCTCGTCTTGCCCTTTGGGGAAGAACTGAACCTGGAGGCCAGGCCCGTGGCAGTCTGGAGCATGCACTGCCTTCATCTCCAGTGACTTCTTTCTTTTTGCCATCCTTCAGGATGATCCAGCGGCACCAGCTGGTGCAGTCTGTGCTGCAGGAGCTGCAGGAAGCCACGGAATGCTTTGGTCTGGAGGGCCTCACCAGTGCTGCGCTGGAGGCAGAGAGGACCCTGTCATCTTTCTCCCTGCCTGGCTATTGTGCAAGGCAGTTTCAAGAGGAGCTGGAGGTTGACCGGGTAGCCAGGAGCCTCTATCCTGAGGATGCCCCAAGTAACATGCTGCCTCTCGTTTGCAAAGGTGAGGGCAACCGCCTCTTTGAGGCTGCCAGTGTGCTGCTCTGGGGCAACCCCAGCCTCAGCCTGGAGCTGCAGGTGCGTACGGTGGTGGAGATGCTGCTACACAAGCAATACTACTTGAATGGCATGATTGACTCCAAGGTGATGCTGCAGGCTGCCCGCTACTCCCTCTGCACTGAGGAGACCCCAGAGATGACCAGCCTCCCCATGGCTATCCTGGAGGCCATCTTCGATGCTGATATCAAAGCTACTTGTTTTCCTGGCACCTTTGCCAACATGTGGCATGTCTATGCTCTTGCCTCAGTACTGCAGTGTAATATCTACTCCATCTACCCTATGAGCAACTTGAAGATCCGGCCCTATTTCAACCGGCTCATCCGGCCCAGGAAGTGTGGCCCACGAACCTCAACGCTCCACATCATGTGGTCGGGGCAGCAGCTCTCCCGGCAGGTCTTCAAGGCGCAGTATTTCGTGGCTGTGGTTGGCCTGGAGGAGCTAGAACCCACAATGCCTTCGCCAGAGCCTCCTGTCCAACCCATGAAGACCCTTGAGCTGCTGAACAGTGACCCCCAGCTGACCTACTCCAACCTGCGTGACCGGTACAGCATTACCAAGAGCACCTTCTACCGCTGGAAGCGCCAGTCTCGTGAACATCGGCAGAAAGCAGCTGCCAGGTTTGCAGCTAAACACTTCCTCCAGTCCTGCTTTCAGGAGGGCAATATAATCCCCCTCCAGCACTTCCGACAAATGTTTCCAGAAATCTCACGATCCACGTACTACGCCTGGAAGCATGAGATGCAGAGCATGGCCAATGGTGATGCCTCTGCTCTGGCTGAGGCCCACAGGTTGCAGGAGCTTCACAGGGTTGTCCCAAAAAAGGCTAATGTGGATGAGCCAGCAAATTCAGGGGGGAGCTTAAGATGCCCGAGTCCTTCCCTGGACCCCATCCAAGCAGGGATCTTCATGCAAGGAGCCAAGTCCTACCTGGAGAAATGCATTTCCATGAACACTCTGGTGCCTTACAGATGCTTCAAGCGCAGCTTCCCTGGCATCTCCAGGTCCACTTACTACAATTGGCGAAGAAAAGCAATCAAGGACAACCCCAACTTCAAACCCCCCCAGTCTCCCTTGGATAACCAGAAACCTCTAGTGATAGGAAAGCCATTCCTGCAGTTGAAGCCAAGTAGCATGCCTGTTAGGAAGAGGCTGAATGGAGACCAACTGGCACCCAGGAGTCTCCTGCAGCTCAAGCCCTCTCTGTGCTGGAGAAAGCAGCTGCGAGATGTGGCCAGGAGGCAGGTCCAGCAGTGGCGGCTGCCGTTCTGCAAG